GAGATGTCTGTGGTAGCTTCCCTGGGCATGGTGCAAGATGGGTTAATCTGACATGGCTTAGTTCATTAATACAAGCCTGTACTAAATGAACAGCTCAATTTGTGGTGGTCCCACTGTAGAGACCTCCTTTGAGTAACAGGAATCCTATTGCTTGTATCTTCTAGGCTAGGGATATGCGATCAGCATCCCTGTAGTACAGAGTAGGAGCCGCAACAAGGGCAGCTTGAGGATCACTCCATGGTGCTAGACCCACAGATCAACCCCATGGCTGTAACACAACCTAAGTGGCACCTTCTTTTGGTCAAATTCTGCTGGCTTCTTTAAAGCAACCATCCAGGCTCTGTGGTTGCTAAATCGGGCTCTGCTTCTTTGGGTGTCTTTCCATTTTCCAAGAAAAATAAACCACAGGCTGTGTATTTTTAGACATGCCATCTGATCGTAGCCAGTCGTATATCAGTCCCAATACTGTGAGTCAAGATGCTGAGCTCCGCTGCTGGGCTCCCTTGTTCAAGAATGAGTGGCTGCAGCTCTCCTGAGTGTATTAATAAATCAGTGTGTTTAAAATAATCATGCACTTGTCCTAGGTAAGCTGCTCACTAGGAATAACACCATTGGGGTTTATTATTGCTAGTGCCTTAGAGACTCTGATTCCCTGGGTGAACTTAATACTGTCGTGAGTGGAAGATGAACAGCACTGGTATGAGACAAACCTAATCTTAGCAGGGGCCAGAGGCAGCATGACTCCCCTTCCTTTCCCTGTCCTACCAGTGCCTCTGACTCCTGACGTCTGTCCCTTACTGTTTCAGTCCTGGGTATCCTCCAAGGTAGCTGCTGGTTGGAGTGAGCTTTATGGTGGCTTCATGCAGCAGTGGGATGTGAAAACCACCTCTCTTTGTGTAACTTTGTGTAAGCTCCATAACTCAGCCCTGGACCCCTTCAGAAAGTATCAGTGCATCAATGTGGGAATTGGGGTATTATAAATCTCTGCTCCACACTGGTGTGCTCAAACCTTCACAAGTGTGTCTCTAACACCAGAGCATCCTGGAGACCATTGTGTGTTTGATCAAAGCAGCTGGAAGCCTTGATGCTGGCGTGTGAAAAATGGGCTGCCTTGTTCCTGACAGTTTATTTCTTGAGTTCCTTCATCACTCTGATGACGATCAATTTATCCACATGACTGGTAGCTGGAGACAGCATAACACAGCTTGGCAGCCTGAGTTTCTCTCAGAGATGTATTACTTGGCATGTTCAACTGAGGCAAAAGGAGCCAGCCTGGCTCTGCTGCGGAGCTGCAGCTCTGTGGGTGTCAAGCAGGTGAAACCCAGCACGACCACCCAGCCTTTCCTCTCCATCCTGCCAGGAAAGGACCTTTGGGATGAGGAGGAAGTTATACCTGGCTAAATATTCTGAGAGCCATGCACTGGCCTCTCCACTGAGATGGGTAATGGCAAGTCAGGCCATACTGGTTGTAGGGGAAGCTACGCTCTGTGTGTTTGGTTTGCACTGACCACTGGCTGGCCCCTGGGGAGTGGGCAGACCAGCAAGGTGGTGCTTATGCACTCCACTGAGAGGAGAGGATGCTTGCTCAATTTGGGTTTGTGTGGTGGAGGTCTGTGCCCGCCACTCTGCCACATAAGTAACCCACCAGCAATCTCCTGTCCTCTGCACTCAAATGCTAGAAACCCTCTTCCTGTCATACAAGAAGCTGGCTGAGCTTCCTCAGTGTCCTCTCCTGCTGTGCTCAGGTACCCACTTTACTACACCCTTCTGTGTTGTCACTCTGAGAGGACCCTGGTGGGTTATGAACATCTGCCATGGTCTCTATGTGCATGCTCAGAGCCCAGTGCCATTTCACCTTGCCAATGCCTGCCTGTGGTGAATGAGCAGCTCTAAGGTAGGTACTTGCAGCTTTCTATAGCTCTGGATGAAGGAGTATTTCATCAAACCTTCACAGCATCCCCAACCTCATCCATGAGGCCAAAGCTTACTTGTAATAGCTTCGTTAAGGGGCAAATCTCTCCAGGTTTCCCATAGAAAGGGCTGAGAGCCTCTGTGCAGGCAAGAATGGGGAGCTATCTGGTGGACCACCACATCAGGAGCCCTACCCACGTTTGTTAGCCTTTCCCAGAGCCCCATCTTCTGGGCAGGTATTTGTAAAGAAGGAGGCTGGAGCCGTGAAGAGGAGAGTAAATCAATGAAGTGGAGAGTAGATTGTGACAGCAAATCTTCTTGCACCAAGGTGGAAGAAGTCATTCTTACTGTTGGGTGGAAGTGGTGCTTTTCAGGGCTGATAGGTGAGATTCACATATTTTATGGATTATGCATAAGAAGTAATAAAGAACTCAGTTCCTCTGTGTCTATACACTAATGGCATATTGATCCCAGTAAATAACCACACTGAGACTGAACAGCAGCATCCCTGGTTAATGTCATCCTGAAGGGTGACATCATTTTTTGGGTGTCACAGCCAGTTCAGCCTTGTCCCATCTCACCCCACTGCTTCACTGTTCCCCTTCGCTCTGGGCTTCACTTTTCTATTCCCCTCATTCATCCTTCACCTCAGCATGACCACTTCTGTCTCTGGGCTTTGTCATGCTTAGCTGGACTCTGCTGTGCCTCCCTAGGACTTACTGGATAGGAACTGTTTCTGTGCTAAGCCATCGATAGGATTTGCTCAGCTTTCTGTACTCAGTTGTATTGAGTGGGAGCAAAATTCACAGCTAAAAGCCACAAATTCAAAGACAAGTATGAAAACTGGAGAGGAGGTAAAAGAAAGAGCATGAAAGGATGGTAACGTGCTTATAATATTTATAATGAGCTTGCTAAGAAGCAGGAGACACTCCTCAGAAGAGGCTGTAGACTTTACCTTAGATATCACAGGAGATTCATTTAGGTAATATATTGTCTCACCTCCCTAAACCTAGCAACAGGGCATTTATAGAAACCTGCTCTAACAGTTCATGGTGTAAAGGAAAGCCCAAACACTGTGTTTGTTAGAGCATTATTCCCATGGGGGATTTTTGGCTCCCACTTTAGAAAGGGCTCAGGAATTTGGATGTCTCCATTTTTAGATAGCATCTCCTTAAAGGGCGAGGTGTTCCCAATCGTGCTGAGCACCTATGTAGTAAACATCCCTGGTTTTGTGTCTCCAGCCTGCTAAAATGCAGAGAGCCAAAATCCCACAGCCCTTTGGACAAGTTGGATTGCAAGGTTTTTAGTCTTTCCCCTCTTAAAGGGGATGTAGGGCCCGGACAGCCCATGTCCCTATGGGAACCACGTCATCCCCAGGGCATGATGCATGTAAAGGGGAGCAGGGCTGCAGCGGTGTTGTACGTGCGCATAGTGGGATTTATTGCTTTGTTCAACAGCCTCCCCTGTTCTGCTTGCTCTGCCTCCAGGAGAACGTGCTGTGAGAGATGTTCCATGTACAATTCCTTCCTTGGCCTTTTCCTCCTTCTTCAAAACAGGGGAAGGAAGGCTTGTAGGGTGCCTTTGGCACATTTGCACTCTGTGGGGAGGGAAGAAGTGGCTCCTTGTCTGTGTTTTATCTCAAAGCACTGGGAGATGGGGAAGAAGGTTCAAGCAGAATGAAGCAAAATGCACTGAAATCAATGGGTAAATAAAGTAGCTCAATTGCATTGCTAAATTACTATGTCTCCTGGTAAGAAAGGAGGGGGAAGAAGGGAGTTTTCTTTCTAATTGTGGGTTGAGAGAGATTTCTGTTCACAAAGGAGATGGTAGAAAAGTTTCTTAGTAAAGACATTCCCACCAAAGGCAGTTTTCTGCCCTCATTTGTGCCAGCAGATGCTACAATAAGGAGGTTTTGGGTATTTCTGCCTCTTTTTTTTATGGTTACCCAGCTTTCCCTTGCTCAGGGAGGGATTTACAGAGATCACTGAGATGCAGCATTGCATCTAATCATGGCTGATGGAGGCATTTGCCCTGGTGGTTTTCAATTGGGACTGTCATGCACATGTAATAGGGATTAAACTTGTATATCTGCTGTCTTATTTCTGAATGGGGGTGTTTAAGCTCTGCTGAAGGAGCTTCCATTTCAGGACTGGGGCTGGCTTTTTGCTGAAGAAGAGAAATCGGGCCTGGCATGTGAGAAATGTTAGAAGAAGAGGCGCCTCGTGTTACCAAAACACAGCTGAAATGAGTCTGAAGAGCTGCATTGCCAATTCATCACACTGCCACTGAGTATAGCTTGTGTAAACCATGGGAGATGCTCTCTATAATGATGTACTGCAGCTGGACACATCTTAGTTGGCAGCGACTTGCTAATGGAGCTAGTGGGACCATTCATCCCTCTCACCCACTCTAGTTCTGACCCAGCCACTTCCCCCATCCACACAGCACCCAAAGTAAGGACATTTTCATGCTGTTTCCCAGGGGAAAAGTTTTCTGCTTCATAACCCTGTATTACAGAGTTCATTCTGAGCCCTCTCAGACCACTTTTTCATGGCCTAGTGTCTACCTCTGCATCTCTATACAGGGATGCAGGATGCAGGATGCATATGCAGCTGGCCTTGGCAGAAGTAGTCAGTATATGGAGGTAACAAGAAATACTCAAGCTTTCATGCAGAATCCTCCACATGGCTCTGCCAAACCTGCTTTTTACACATAGACATTTCTGTGTTCTCACATACACATCACTGAAATAGTGTACTTTGGTACCCAAATGGATCAGCTCAGTATCTAGAAAAATGCATATTTCTCTTTATGAGATGTTCTCTTCCTTTGCACCAGCCCAAACCTCTCTGACCCTCCTTTACCCCTGCAGCATCCAGCATAGAAGACTGTCCTCTCCAGCACTGTTCCCACCCACATGGAGCCAAATCGCATCCAAACCCATGTGCTTCGCTCCCTACCTGAGGATCCCATCCGCATCCCAGCGCAGCCAGGACTGGAGCACTCTGCCTTCCGGACCTGCAGCTGACGGCTCTCCCTCCCTCTCCCCCCTCACTCCCAGCCCGAAGCATGCCGCAGCCTGTACTCACACAGCCTGGATGAGAAAGCTCAGCTGCTTATCCCTGAGCCTGCTCCCAGATTCCTCGACCGAGTGACCGCGCTCCTCAGCGCTCAGCCCGGAGCAGGGATGAAACAGGAACCAGACCTCTTTGGTTTACTTTTACATTGACGTCAGTGTCTTTTCTAGCCTCCACGGCTCATTTTGGTCAAAGGATGTCTTCAGGGGGGAGGGAAAGGGTTGGAAAGGGAGAGGAGTCAGGATGAGTTGGAGATGAGTTCTTGTGACGTGGGAGGTTTTAGGTGGTAATGATGGAAAAAGGAGCCCTGGGTGTGGATCATCACCTGGACATGAGTATGTTGGAGGCCTGACCCATCAGGCTGAGAACACTGAGGCTGTTCAGCCTGGAGGAGAGCAGCTGCATGAAGACCTGAGAGCAGCTTCCAGTGTCCGAAGGGGGCTACAAGGATGCTGGAGAGGAGCTCTTCATCAGGGACTGGAGCGATAGGACAAGGGGTAACGGGTTCAAACTGAAACAGGGGAAGTTTAGATTGGATATAAGGAAGAAGTTCTTTTCTGTGAGGGTGGTGAGGCACTGGAATGGGTTGCCCAAGGAAGTTGTGAATGCTCCATCCCTGGTAGTGTTCAAGGCCAGGTTGGACAGAGCCTTGGGTAGCATGGTTTAGTGTGAGGTGTCCCTGCCCATGGCAGGGGGCTGGAACTGGATGATCTTAAGGTCTTTTCCAACCCAAACTATTCTGTGAGTTTTTGATTCTATCTGCACAGACATCTGCTTTCCACCTGTACCAGCACCCTGACTATGAGCACAAGCCCTTCCCTGACCTTTTGTGAATGAGCTACATGGGCCATGCAGTTGTAGATAAGTGCACACAAATATGCCTGTCTATGCATACAAATCAGCCTTTTACAGGCTTAAAGGTCACAGCATTTAGTATTTAGATCCAAGGGCCTCAATAACTCACCTCTCCCTAGACACCTGTAAGGTTGAAGGAACTCCTGTTGAGATCTTGCTCTCTCAGGTTAAAGCTTTGATTTTATCCTGTTTTTTTTTTGCTGCATGGTGTGCACATCCATCCTCCATCCCTGTGCATCCACAGTGCATGGACATGTTTTTGGAGTGTGTAAAGGGCTGATGCTTGTGAAGGATTTGGAAAACACTGTCAGAAAGTGGAACCTGTGAGTCCCATGGCTAACGTCAAATCATTCAGAGCAGATTAATCACACCGGTGTTTAGGGCTTCTTTCTTGGTTGGGAGCAAAGCCAGCTTTCTTTGCATGGCCAAACAACTTCCAGGAATTCAAACGTAAGGCTTTCGTGTCCTAAATGCTGATAGTTTTGTGCTGTGTTTATTCCCTTGGGTAGTGTGATGTAAATGCTTGACCACTCTGATCTTAGATCGCCAGGTAAGGGCAAATACAGAGCTTGCCCCAGTGCTGTTGCACAACCACAATGAAATCTGTGCTCTCTCTGAGCCATGGATCACCTTCCTATGATGCATTTGTCCAGCTCTTAACACAACTGCTCTGTCATCCCTTATTAGACCATCTGTATGATACCTTGAAGCAAAGCGTTCGTTGTAACCTCTTAGCTGACAGTGATTTACTCTCAAGCACTGAGGTTATTATGTATGAATCCTGGCACCGGCACTCATAAACAGCCCCTACCACCTGGTGACATTGATGCAATTGGGCTGGTTGACCCTTGGAAGCTGGTACTAAAACCTTACAGGGAGCAGGGATTAGTCACAAGGAAGCATTATCTGGTACCACCGCAATGATTGGGCTCTACTGAAAACCAGTAGTAAGAAAATAGCTTTTTGACCTGAGTGTAGCATCACTGCAGAGAAAAAGAGACTCAGGAAGGGAAAGCTTTTAGTTTGTTCAGCACATTCATGGCAGAGCCAAGTAATAAGTCCTGCTTCTTGGCCATTGGATCCCACTCTCTCCATCATAAATAATGCTGAAGTCTCAAAGATTCCCAATGTTCTTGTCAGAACCAATACATTGTTCATGGCTGAAGAAAGACAGAGTCTTATAAAAACCAGAAAAAGAGGTCCTCGTAAATCACCGTGTCTATACTTAGAAATGTGTTAAAGCTGAGCTCCTTTTCAGAGCACATAAAGTATATTTTTTTTTTCCTTTTTTCCGAGTTGAAAAATCCATCCAAAGGTCAGTCAGAAACAGGAATAAAACTGTCTTTGAAATCTCAAGCTGCTGTAATAGCATTGTTGGCAGTGAATGATAAACTCGAGCAGTTGAGGTTTACATGGCACATGAAGAGAACACGTATTTGTCTATACGTTAAATGACCCAGCACTGGCCCTTTTGCATTTCTCCTCCTGACCTATCACACTATTTATAGATTTTCACTACAAAAGGACCTCCTGAACACGAGAAGGAAAACCAAGTAGTTGTGAAGAAACCATCACAGTGGAGCAGTGCTCATAAGCCATCATTCCTGGGCAGGAGGCCAGTTTTAGCGATAACCTCCCAGGTAGCAAGGATGTCAACTCTTCATTTATCTGGCAGGGACTTTTCCAGTCTTTTGGAGGGTGTGAAGGGTTGTTCAAAGGGGTCTTGTGGTAATGAAGGTGTTGGATTGAAAGGGAATAGTGGCATGTCCTGAGTAGGGCTCTAGAGATGTCTGGGGAATGAGGTCTTCTAACCGCTACACAGACTATACCTGACTGAAGGGACTTAAAAGCCATGTATATAGACCTCTCAATTTGAGTTAAAAGCCAAAGCAGTCTTTGATGGTGGTAACACCCAAGGATGGCTGAGATTTGGGGTCTCTTTGTCACGCCTCATAGATAGAAAGCTCTTAGCGGAGACCTGTATTGCACTCCTTGCTCTGTTAACTCTGGAGAAGTATATTCTTCTTATATTCATGGAGACAGCCACGGAATATCTTCCATTACCCTGGCTATGTAGCTGCACAATAATGTGCCCTGTCTGTACAGGGAGTCCTAGTGGAAACTGAAAGATCTTCTATAGACGTGAGTATGAAGGCCTCATCCCTGGATATTTTAACTTGGAAACTGAGTCAGGTGATGGATTTGAACACCCTGGTGCGCAAGAAGGACTTTAAATGGAGATCTGCAAGGGGGGAAACAGGTTACCATCTCCCTCCTGCAGGGTAGACTTGGCTGCTCCTTTCCTTTAGGATGTCCTGGTGTGTGTTCAGCAGCTCTTGGCCCTGAATGAGAGGTACCTTTTCCCAGCTTCCCCATTCTTCCAGTGCAGGAATGCAGGCAGCGTCACACTTGTAAGGCTTCAAGCTGCTGGGGAGCCTTTTGAGGTACTTCGATGAGCTGATGAGCGCTGGCTTTCCAAGTCCACACTGTGTAGAGGAGCACAAAGCATCTGGGACAGTGTAGATTTTAACTTGGCACATATCTGAGGAGCTTTCTAGGGTGGAATGAAGTATGCCTTGCAGTTCTGAGTGCTGGGAGCAAAGGTGGCACGTGTAGGCTGCAGGAGAATGGCTCTGTGCTTTGAAGATACGAACATCCAAGGCATCCTGGGGAGAGTGAGAGCAGACAGCACTCCACAAACAGCAGAGGAGTCTCCAAAAGTGAACATGCAGAGGTAGAGCCCAACAAGGGCTCAGCACTTCATGTTGCCAACAGAATCCCTCTCACCCACCACGGGAGGACACACCACTCCAGAACCCTTATGAGCATTGTATCACAGGTTGGAAGGGACCTCAAGGATCATCTGCTCCAACCCTTCTTTGCAAAACCAGTCTAGATAAGACAGCCCAGCACCCTGTCCTGTACATGAAGCCTCTAAACCACTGAGGTTGTTAAAGAAAGGAACATCTGTCTATGGCTCCATTCTGTGGGTTTTAATTGACAAAACAGTGCACCCTCTGACTGCCCATCAATGAATCCCACTCATGGTCCTCTGACTTTGTTTTCTGTGGTTCTGCAATTAGGTTCTGCTAACTTGGCCTCTGCTTGCTATTTAGTTGCCTGGACTCCCACGTGCCTTAACTGGGTGCTGAAGGACAACTCTGATGTCTCACAGGCAACTCCAGTGTTTGTGTGCCACCAACCACACTGAACCCAAGCACCCTCTCCCAAGCTGAGTGGCCATTGGCTTTGTCACTTGGCCAATTGATCAGTTGAGGGATGAAACGGGTCAGATTTCAGACTCTTTCACCTTCATTTAAATCCTTGAGCAATGCCTTATCTGTGTGATGTGGGGTGTGTGTTGGTGGGACTAAGGCAAGAGAAACTGGTGGAGATCCTTTAGCTGCAATGCTGCCCCAAACATTAACCTTGTAGGGAGAACTCCACAGCAGAGTTTGCAGGAATGAGGGAGTGAAGTAGTGAGTGGATTTGTCCATGAAGACATTTCTATGCTGGCCATGCAGGGTAAATAACATCTGGGAACACACAAAGCTCCCATAATGCCCTAACTACCTCCTGTGCTTTCAAATGTGTTTTTTCCTCTTGCCTCACAAAAGCAGCTTTTTGTGAATGAGAGCTTATCCATCAATGAGGGAAACAATGGCCCATAAAGACATAATGGTTCATTTGGAGCTCTGCCAGGGGTTATTATTCCTCCTGGTGCACATTCACCTCAGCTGAAGGTTGCATTCAGAGGCTGTGCTTTCCTTGCTGTGCTGCTCATAGACCTCTGTGAAAGGGGGTTCAGGGTGAGGATGTGGGAATTCAGGTTGAGCTGACTTTGCTGAGAGCTTTTCCTTTCCTTCCTTTCCCATTTTGCAGAAGTTTAGGTGTCAGACTAATATATACAAGGAATTATTTATATATAAGGAATATATACAAGGAATATATTAACAAAATGAACACATGGCAGCAGTTACCTGCATATTTTTTTCCCTTTCTTACTGAAGAAGGAAGCTGCAACCAATCTGCATCTTTTCTATGATCTGGGCATAGCTCCAGTACTCTTTAATCTGTATCTACAACAGCATTTTGCTATATGAACATACAGGACTGCAGTGCCACTACATAAGCAGCGTATATGGTGGAGTAGCCTGGTCTCATGTGCTGTGTAACGGCGTGTCTCCAGCTTTCTGTTGTGTAGGAATATGCATTCCCTCCCTTCTAGGCTTGCCACAGTAAATAGAGCCCTGAGAAATCACCCTTCTAACACCAATAAAATCTGTT